TCATGTCTGTAATCTCAGCATTTTGGGAGGCCAAGGCGGAAGATTGCTTAAACCCAGGAGTTCTAGACTAGCCAGGGCAACATAGCAAGCCAGGTGTGGTAGTGCACACCTGTAGGCCCAGCTACTCAGGAAGCTGAAGCAAGAGGTTTTCTGGAGCTCAGGAGTTTATGGCTGCAATGAGATATGACAGTGTCACTGCACTCCAGACTGGGCAATGGAGTAAGAGCCTGTCTCAAAAAATAAAATTAACAATGAAATAGTAAATAGTCACAGTATAGAATTCTCTACTCCCAACTGTGCCTTGAATGTTGAAAGGGTAAACTGAGGCAAGAAGGGTCGATGCTGGGGCCGTAGGAATAAAACAAGATTGCATTCAAGTAAGAAGTAGAAGGAAGTAACATTTATTTTTCACTTTTAACAGTTTGAAAAAGGGGTCAACACTCAGAGGCAAGTGTGGCTTCAAAGAGCTGATACTTGGGTATTTTTAAGGGCATTTGAGGTCAGAGAGGTTTGGGTTTGGGGGTGTTTGGATCAAAAGGAATGTCCAAGAATGCAGGTCTTTGATGTTGATTGTGGTCACATGAGTCTTTGACCTTGATGTCACCAGACATTAGAATCTCATGCACTTGAGTGGTAGTCTAGATGGGAAGAGACAAGGAGAGTGATTTTTTTCCTGCAAGGAACCTGTCAGACATTTCCAATCCATAATCTCCTTAGCAAAAGGTGGTCTTATTATTATTTCTATGGCTTCGGTCAGCCAAGGGGGCTGTAAGTGTCTTAGAAATTATTCTGCTCAACCATGAATTGAAAGAAGGGGCTGTCCTTGTCTTGCATTTGATGGAGAGTTGCCAAAGGGATGGAGTAAGCTGCCAGCTTGGCCTGCAGTAAAAGGCCTGAATGCTTCCTAATATCTACCTTTGGAAAGTTATCTATATCTAATCTGTGCTAGATTCAAAGCATGTCAGTGTAAGCAAAAATGGCTGCGCTGATGCAACATGTGAACCTAGTTTATTCTAAGTGTCTCAGGGTCCCTCCTTTCAGTGAAACATGTGATTTCCCAGAAAGCAAGAAGGGGTGGTGTGGTTAGGGGCTTAGAGAGAATACCACTGACACCTACTATGGAAATAGGAAAAGGAATGAGGGGACCAGGAAATTCAATTAAAGTTGAGCAGGTAGCCCCAGTATCAATGACAAGTGGAATATGTTTATCAGAAACAGATGTCCACTCTGGGTTCAGATGGTTGCATGAAGTGCTTAGGGGAGCATGGGGCAACTGAACCAGAAGTGTGTCAATCAGATTGGTCAGATTGAAGCAGTTCCAAAAAGTCCACCTTAGAGACTGACCTGGCCTCCCAGTGCATGGCTGGTACCTGAGGAGCCTTAGTATGATAGTTTGGCAGCTGTGCTGGTGGCTGGGGAGTGTTTCTCTGTCCGGTTGGGTGAGCATGGCAATCCCTTCCCCAATGTCCAACATGCCTGTACTCTGGGCATGGGGTGGAAAGTGGGAGCTTGATGCAGTCTCTAGCCTGGTGACCACCAGATTAACCATGCTTGAAACAGGTCCATGGCAGCTGCTGTCTACACCAATTGCTGACATATCTCCCAAGGTTAAAGTCTCTATTTCTGTTTTTCCTTTCGTCTTCTGGTTAGGCCTGAGGCTATGAGCTGAAAGGCCGGAGTTTTAGCTTTCCTGTCCTCCCTTTGTTCCCCTTTTCAATTATTAAAGACTTTTTTGGCTAGGTATCGTGGCTCAAGCCTGTCATCCCAGCACATTGGGAGGCCTAAGCGAGAGGATTGCCTAAGCCCAGGGGTTCAAGACCAGCCTTGGTAACTGGGTGAGACATCGTCTCTATAATAAATCAAAAAATTAGTTGGGCATGGTGGTACACACCTGTAGTTCCAGTTACTTGGAAGGCTGAGGCAGAAGGATCACCTGAGCCCAGCGGGTCGAGGCTACGGTGGTTGTGAGTGTGCCACTGTACTCTTGTCTGGGTGACAGAGTAAGACTCCAACTCAACCCCCTCAAAACAAAAAAGACTTTGTAAGCCAATAATAAGAGTTCAGGTAGAGGAGTTTAGGGGCCTTTCTTGAATTTCTGGACCTTTTGTTTAATATCCAGAGCTGGCTGGGAAATAAAATGCAGAGCTAAGATCGATTATCCTTCTGGAATATCTGGATTTAAATTAGTATAGCATTGTATGGCCTCATATATGCAAGCTAAAAAGGCAGTGGGTTTTCAACAGACCCTTGGACAATTTCTTTGACTGTATCATCGTTTACTTGTTTAAAACTGGCCTTTTGCATGCCACGTATTAGGCAAAAAATAAAGTGCTTCTGCTTTTCCCTGTCAGGGGAGTTAGGTTGATAATTCCAGTTGGAATCTATTCCCGGGATGGCTATTGCAGCCAGGGAATGCTAACCAGGCTGAAAGTGGCTGCATTCATCTGCAAATTCTCAGGTTTCGGCAAAAATCTGTTTAAACTTATGGTAAGTGGTGGTGTACAAAATGACCTGAATATGTCTCCACATGAGATCGTACAAAAGGGAGAGGTATTGAAATTCCTTAGCAAACTTGCTTGGATATAACAAAGGTATTTCTCCAGTAATTTCTGGATCCGTTTTTTGCTATTGGGAAGTACAGTTCAGCTGAGATTCTTGTTCATTAGAGGGTCATTTACATTTTCTGTAGTGGTTTTTTGGTTATTTTTAATTTACTCCTGTTTTTCACTTTGCCATTGTCAAGATGCTAAGTTCATTTTGCAGGTTTTGTTTTTGTTTTTTATTTGTTTTTTTATTTGCTTGCTTATTTATTTATTTAGAGTCAGAGTCTCATTATATTGCCCAGGCTGGAGTGCAGTGGCACAACCACGGCTACCACAGCCTCGACCTGCTGGGCTCAGATGATCCTACTGCCTCAGCTTTCCAAGTAGCTTGAACTAAAAAGCATGTGTCACCCTGCCCAGGTAATTTTTTTTTTCTTTTATGTTGAGAGTAGATTTTGCCAAGTTACAAGGCTGGTCTTGAACCCTGAACTCTGGACTAAAGCAATCTCACTTCCATTTCCTGAAGTGCTGGGATTACAGGCGTAAGCCACCATGTCCAACTAAATTCATTTTTAAACTCATGTTCTTTCATTGTTTCTGTAAAAATTTCAACCATTATCGTTTCATGTATTGTCTAACATCATTTTCACTTTTCTCACTCTGAAATGATTACAGATATCTGTTCACTCTTCTCATACAACTTTATATATTTTTTTTTTTTTGAGTTGAAGTAGTTTCACTCTATCACCCAGGCTGAGGTGCAGTGGCATGCTCACAGCCACCCCAGCCTCGACCTGCTGGGGTCCCATGATCCTTCCGCTTCAGTCTTCAAAGTAGCTGGCGTACAGGTACACGCTGCCACATCCAGCTAATTTATTCTGACTTATTGTAGAGATGAGGTCTCGTCAAGCTGTCCAGGCTGGTCATGAACCCATGAGGTCAGGCAATCCTCTCACCTCGGCCTCCCAAAGTGCATTTTAATATTGTATTGTTCACTTTCTGGTCACCCTGTAAGACATTTTGAAAATTTTAATACATGTTTTCTTTCCATTTATATATTTAGGATTTTAGCTCTCCTGTCCTTCGTGAAGTCAATTTTAATGGAATTACTTCAATTCACTATTTTTCCTTCAAAATGTGGATACAATTCCTCTCAATAATTGCCCACTTTTTTCTAATATACTCTTTGCTGTTTATTCTTGTTGACAGCTCTCCTGTCACACACCTGAGCTATCGTAAAGGGTCTCTCCCAGTCTGCCTCAGGCCTTAGGCTGGATGGGAGGGGATTGTCGCAGCTCCTCCTGCCTCAGTGTCCCAAATTTAGCATCAGTTCAGGGTTGTACCCAGCAAAGATGGCACCAATGCCGCACCCTCACACCTGGGATGGTTGCCTGTGCCTGCCAACACTGCAGTGACTCTGGTTACACTTAGGGGAGGTAGCTCAGTGCTGACCAGGGAAGCTAGTCAGGGAACAGAGATATCCCAGTGCCTATCCACAAATTCAGGGGAAGTGAACCACATCTCCTAGCTTACCCAGAGCCATGACTTATCCATGACTGTAAGGATTCTGAATCTTCTATTCTATCTCACAGAGAGGGGAAAACTCCCTCCATAAAGATCCCTTGATGTTCCAAAGGCGCTGTTCAGCTGTAAACTGTTCTTTGATGTGGACCCTTCTAAATCTTATGAACTATCATTTCTCTTTTATTGCTCATAACCGTGATAATCTATATATTTCAGAAATATTTTAGAGAGTATTTCTTGGTATCTGAAGCAGACAAGGGCTCTTAAGTGGACACATCAATTGTCCGCCCAGATTGTGGAGTCCAGCAGGAGGATCCATAATGCCCCATTTCCTCATGTCTTAACCATGTCTATAAACCAACCATGATTGAACTCCTCCCATGACCTTGGTAACGCTGACCCCAAAAACCACTCTGAGGATTGAAGTTTATGACAACATGTCCCAAACAAGCAAACAGGCTAGAGGAAGTGATATTACTTCCCCAGATCCTATAAAGTGAATGATACCCAGAAATGAAATAAAGCCCAACTCCCCAGCTCACACTCAAATCAGAATACAACCTAATAAATTGATCTGAATACCTTGACCATGGATTGAAGTGCAGAGGGATGACCAAGGAAACCAGGGGACCGAGGAGGCAAGAATGACGCAGAGGCTTGTCCCCAAGTGGGTGGGGATGGGCAGTGCTGGATAAAAGGAAAGAAAAGGGAAGTACAAGAAGGAATTATTTGGTGAAAGAAAAAACACTCCAGGGACTAAAAATTATGTTTTCTTCTTTGTATTCTCCATGTCTTCTTGTGCTTTTACCACATGCAGCTCAGCATGACCTGCACACTCAGGTGATGAACAGGTCTCTGCTGACCTCAGTCTGATGGACAGCATGCACTTGTGTGTTCCCTGAAGCATCTGCAGGTCTGGAGAGAAAACTGGTCATGGAGAGGACCCCACAAGAATGTGCCAGTGGACAGGCTGAGGGTGAAAGTGACCCCATGGAAGGTTGTAGAGGGAAGGAGGAGCCCTTGGTCACCCTCACCTAGAAGGGGCTGACACAGGAAGGCACTGGACCTATTTGTTTCTATGTCCTGGTCTGTGGTGACACGAGGATAGATCATACATCCAGTGCCAAGGGGTCCAAAGTGACCCCATTTCTGTGTTAAATCTCTTCAGAGAGCCTGGTGTAGGTCGCAGCCCCAACTCTGGGTAAATGATAGCCAGTCTTCTAGAAAGGGCAGTTCCCCTTCCTGTGGGGCTAAGGATGTGGCAATACCATAAGAAGGAGAACCCAGCCTCTGAAAGGCCACACACTGTGTGTCTGTTTTTCAGGCACAGGGTTCTCCTCCATCTGCACAGCTGGAACCAGTGGTGGGAGAAACCATGATCCAGACCCTCCCAGCCCTGCTCTGCCTTGGTGAGATTTGAAGAGGGGAAAGGGAAACTCTGGTCTGGGAGGAAACCCACTGCACAGCCAGGCCCTGGTTCATGAGGAGACCCCAGTTTATCAGGAGGCCACAAGGGAGAGGAGCACTTGCTCAGTCTTCAGAGGACAAATATCTCATGGGAACTCTCTTACAGGGCTGAGTCTTGGACCCAGGACCAGAGCACAGGCAGGTGAGTCTGTCCTCATCTTTTCCAGGTCTCTCCTACTCACTGGGGACAAGAGGTAACCCCCTAAGCAACTGGGGGTGAGTAACAGCAGTTCTGGGCTGACTGATGGGGACATCTGGAGGGTCCTGGGCCTGAGTACTGGGATCTAAGGGGCGGGAATATTGTGGGTCCCAAGCTCTGACTTCCTTCCAGGGACCCTCCCAAAACCCACCCTCTGGGCTGAGCCAGACTCTGTGATCCCCCAGGGGAGCCCTGTGACCATCTGGTGTCAGGCAACCCTAGAGGTCAGCGAGTACCAACTGTATAAAGAAGGTTGGACAGCATTCATAGACATGGAGAGCACCACAGATCCTGGGATCAAGGGCAAGTTCAACATCACATCCATATCAGAGCATCATGCAGGAAGATATTACTGTCAATATAGCAACTTTACTGGGTGGTCAGAATACAGTGATTCCCTGGAGCTGGTGGTGTCAGGTGAGAGGACACTCAGGGGTTCCAGTCCCTCAGGGGCGTCTCCCCATCCCACAGCCCAGACCTGAGGGATCATGTGAGGTGTGAGCCCCATTTAACACGGTGCCTCGTTTGTTCCTAGGAGTCTACAGCAAACCCATCCTCTCAGCCCTGACTAGCCCTGTTGTGATATCAGGAGGAAAGGTGACCCTCCAGTGTGTCTCACAGTTGGGATTTGGAAAGTTTATTTTGATTCAGGAAGGAGAACACAAGGTCTCCTGGAACCAGAATTTACAGAAACACTACTATGGGCATGTCCAGGCTCTGTTCTCTGTGGGTCCCGTGACTCCCAGCCAAAGGTGGATGTTCAGATGCTATGGCTATTACTTAAATAATCCCCAGGTGTGGTCAGAACCAAGCGATCCCCTGGACATCCTGATCCCAGGTGAGGAATCCACGACTTTGACCTTCTCTTATACACTTTTAGAGACCAGACAGGTCGTTGGAAGTATGATTAACTGTTGACCATGGTGAGGATCCCACAAGGCTGTCTTGATGGATGGACTGAGTAGTGAAAGAGACTCCATGGGAGGCTCTAGAGGGACGGAGGAGCCCTGGGTCACCCTCACCTGGAAGGGAACGACTCATGAAGGAACAGGATCTAGTGGCTGCTACTTCCTGGTTACTGTGAAATGAGAACAGATCAGACAGACATGTTTAGGGGTCGGGGAGGCATGTATCAGAAATTTTCTTAGACAATCCAGGTGAGACAAAGAAGCTCTGGGGTCAGAGACACAGAATGTGACAATGAGACCTGCAGGGCCAGGACAGAGAAGGGAGCCCTACCATCCCAGCTCCTCTTTCCCTCCAGGAGTGTCTAGGAAGCCCTCCCTCCTGACTCAGCAGGGCCCTTTCGTGGCACCTGGAGAAAGCCTGATCCTCCAGTGTCGCTCTGATGTCACCTACGACAGGTTTGCCCTGTCCAAGGAAGGGCAAAAAGACCTCATTCAGCACCCTGGCAGGCAGTGCCCAGATGGGCTTTCTCAGGCTGAATTCCCCCTGGGCCCTGTGATCAGCTTCCACAGGAGCCGGTACAGATTCTATGGTGGACACAACCTCTCCTCCGATTGGTCGACCCCCAGTGACCCCCTTGACATCCTGATCTCAGGTGAAGAGACCATCAAGTGAAGTCAGGGATCCAGATTCTGCACAGGTCCTGCTGGGGGAGTCCTGGATTGTGATGGCTGATGTGAGGGGTGGGGGTCTTAAGGGAGGAGAAGAAAGAGAGAGATGGGGTGGGGGAGGGTTGAGACTGAGAGACAACAGAGACAAAGAGACTGAAGGTCCTCAGTGAGGCTTTGGAGAGGTCTCAGCTCAGAGCAGATTGGGGCAGTCTCTAATCCTCCTCTTCTCTCTAGGACAGCTCTCTGCCAGACCTTCCTTCTCGGTGCAGCCAGGTCCCATAGTGACCTCAGGAAAGAATGTGTCCCTGCTGTGTCAGTCACAGAGCCCAGTGGACACTTTCCTCCTGTCCATGAAGGGCACAGCCTGTCTTCCCCCCTCCTCCGCCCCCCGCGTATAAGTCCAAAGTACCAAGCTCAGCTGTTCCAGGGAGAGTTCTCCATGAGTCCTGTGACCTCAGCCCATGCAGAGACCTACTGGTGCTATGCCTCAAACAGCACTTCCCCCTACCTGTTGTCATACCCCAGTGATCCCCTGGAGCTGGTGGTCTCAGGTGAAGTCCGCTGGCCCTGTCTTCTCTGAGCGCAAGGGGTCAGCTCAGGTTCCTGCCCCATGGAGTGCTTTGGGACAATGAAAGATGAGGGAAGTGAAGTGGGTGGGTCTATAGGGAAAGGTCCAGCCCATAAGAGAATGTACATAGATGGGGACTTCTGACCCCTGGTTTCAGTGCAGGGAAGAGAGCATGAAAAGCTGGGAGGAGACGTGGGTGAACATTGCTGGTCATATGATTAGACTGAAGGAGTAGACAGAGTCCCTTAACATGCCTTGGAATATGTGTGTTGAGTAGAAGGAGGAGGGTGAACCAGGTCAGCAGTATTTGGGATCAAGCTGTGATGTAGATTCATAGAAGATGCCGGGGCTGAAGGAGGAGAAAGAGGTGAGGCGAGGTGGAGTGAAGACAGATGGACACTCTTGGCAGCCCTTCTTCCTCATTTCCAAGAGACCCTGAGGATGGAATCCCTCACCCACACAAGAGGGGTTCTCTGAGCCCTCTCAAGACAGGGCAAGTGTCTGCTCCGGCCTTGGTGGGATCTGACTGTTGTGAGAGTGGAGCCCACAACAGACATGCTCCTTCACAGAGAAGCCCCCCTGCTCTGGGAACCACTCAGTTAAGACCCTGTTGTGCTCACCTGGTCACCTCTATACTCAGAGCACATCTGAGACTAAGGATGGCTCATGCCTCTGCTCCCTGAGGCAAGTTAGAATTTTATCCCCAGCAGGTCTTGTTTGCAATCCATTTGTGCTCTGCATTTTCTATGTGACATTGTCTCTTGTTACTCTTTAAAAGATATTTCAATTTATGGTTTAAAAATAAGTAGTTCTACTCCCTTTTTCATTTGGATAGATTAAATTTAGACATTCATTATAGAAAGTAATATCTAGCCAGGCTCGGTGGCTCAGCCTATAATCCCGCATCTTTGGGAGGCTGAGGTGAGTGGATTGCCTGAGCCCGTGGGTTCGAGACCCGCCTGGGCAGTGAGACCTCATCTCTACAATAAATCAAAAAATCAGCCGGGCGTGGTAGCACATGCCTGTAATTCCAGCTACTCAGAAGGCTGAGGCGGAAGGATCGCCGGAGCCCAGCGAGTGGAGGCTGCGGTGGCCGGGAGCAGCCACTGCACTCCAGTCTGGGCAACAGAGTGAGATTCCAACTCAAAAAAAGAAAAGAAAAAAAAAGAAAGTAATATCTTATTGATATCAATTCTTTTGATCAACAATGTTTACATTTAAGGGTTGGTAGCGAATATATGTTGGCCAAGCTGCACTCAAAATCCTGGGCTCAAAGCTTCCTCCCATCTCAGTCCCCTGAGTAGCTAGGACTACAGACATGCATTACTATGCCCAACTACTTTAAAATGTAATACTAAATTATTTATAACAGCTTTTTTTGGTTATATTGAGTTTTCTTCATATTAACTTAGTACAATTTCTCTTCCTCCAATTTTATTAGGTCGACCTCTTCTTCTTTTCTGATAAATTTTATATCAGCCCCAAGTAAATAAAAATATTACCTCCTTATTTACAAATTGCATGCCATTTTTATCACTTGAAATATAAATATACACACAGGTATACATATATAGATAGATAAGTAGCTACAATTTTATAAATTTATATGTATGTATGATTATATACACTGCATGCAAATATATATGTACATTTATCTATATATATTTATACCTACCCATATTCATCCATATGCTTAATGTCTTTTATCTGGTATGTTTTTCATGTTTGTTATTAGTCTTCTCTGCTAGATTCACTTCAAAAATAATATAAATACTGTTTTCATAAAACACTGGCAACACCATTTGAAGTACATGTTTGCATATATTGTGTGTATATGGGCATGCATGTGTGCATTGTATTCCTATATATATATATATAAAGTATGATGTAGTGAAATAAATGGAAAGTGGGTAACACAGGTGAACTGATTGATGTGGCATGAAGGGGAGGCAGCCCCAGAATTCCACCCTTCTGTGTTTCTGATATTCAGTAGCTCTGAGGACTAACCCCTCAACCATGAAGCCTGGTTCCTCCGTTGATAGAAACAAAACAAAACAAAACAAACTGGACATTCTTATCTCCTGGAGAATCAGGTTATGTGGTCCTGTCTGCCAGACTGAACAGAGAGAATGCAAGAATGTGATTAATTCCGTTTGAATTTCCTTTTTCTCACCAGTTCTGAGCACTTGAGCTTCAGCTACATTTTGGTCCAATGTGATTCAGACTTAAAATCTGAATTCATAGAACAAAGAGAGGCTGAAGAATGCAATGAAGAGACCAGAGGAAACCCTGCTACAACAGAGACAGTGTTTATTAAGAGACTACACTTGAGTTCTGTTATGAGAAGTGGGGGATATAAAAGCACAGAGCCCAGGAAAAAGGCTTAGGTCTCTAGAGCTCCTTACCAATAACCTTGCCTTTGGAAATCACAGGAGCAGCTGAGACCACCAGTCCATCACACAACAAGTCAGACTCCAAGACTGGTGAGTGGGGACATGCTTTTAGTTATGTGGCTAGGCACAGAGGGTCAGGTCCTGTCAAGGGGAGGTGGGTGCCCTAGGTAGACATCTAGGGATCCTGGGGGATTTTGATCTGCCCTGACCTCTGTAACCTCTCTGTGCACCATCCCCAGTCTCACAGGCCCAGGACTACACAGTGGGGAATCTCATCCAGATGGGCATGGCAGGCTTGATCCTGGTGGTCCTCGGGATTCTGCTGTTTGATTCATGGCATAGCCAGAGAAGCCCCCAAGAAGCAGCCAAGAGGTAAACAGGAGAGACGACACCATACCATTCAGAGTGACAGGAACTTGGTAATGAATCTGATGATAGCAATAAGTTCTGGAAGATAGTCTAAGACATACGTTGGGGAATTGTCTGCTGAGAATGTGAAGGGGAGTATGCATGGTCATGTGCAGGGAAAATGCCTGGAGAGTCTTGAGGAGTCTTCTTCCACTAAACTGTGATTCCCTCTTTCCTGTTGTTGACTTTCTTTGACTTCCTCCTTTCTTCTTCTCTGTCCCTAATGACATGAAATTACTTCTCCCATGGTAAGATTGTGTTCACACCTCTGTGAGCTCATGCCCTGGTTCACTTTCGTGTAATGTATTCTTTTTTGTAACTATCATGTTTTCTTTTGTGTGCTGTTGATTCCCTGTCTCTACAGCTCATAACATGGAAATTGAATGAAAGCTCTAAATAATTGGAAACCATCAGATTATTCCCTGAAAAAGATAACTCCTCAAGGATGTCCTAGCATCTGTCCTTCTTCATAACATGCTACCTGTTTAATTTCTTTAGAGGTTAAAGGAATCACTACACGATGCTTAATGGAGCAACCCAGTGGTGTCCTGCTAAATCAGATCTCTGAAAAAATCATTTCTATGAAGCCTTGTTCTGTGTCATTTGCTTATCACTATGCTATAAAATATCCTGTGGTAAGCATCAACGTGCCAGTGTGACATCACTGAATACCAGTTGGGAAGTCACAGGCAGATTTATCCCTCAAAAGTGTGCATAGACCAGTTACAATTCACCTCTGCGATACCCTTCACGTGCCACTATGTTTTCTTTTATTTAAAGTTTATGATCATTTCTGCCTCATTCTTATGGTGCAGCTTCAGTAAAAATGTGATACCAAAATCACAGCATATTGGAGGCAAAAGAAATTAATAGTCACATCAATTTTTGAACACACAGTTGTGCATGTAAAATTTTAGTCCATTACTAGTTGGAATGCAAATTGTATGAATCAATTAATGTAATAGACTGGAATTGTCTCATTCAAAGGAAGAGACACAAAACTAAAACTCTTAAGTATATACCCTAGAGAACAATGTGTACATATTCACCAGGACACCTTTACAACATTGATAGGAGTGCTATTCTTATTACCCAAAAGCTATAAAATACAAACATAGACCTACCACATGTATTTCTTAAAATATCATAAGTTTAAATACATATACCATGAAATCATTGAAGATTTTATTATTTTGAGCAGTATTGAGATTTTATTTATAATATATTTTTCAATGGAAAGATTCAGATATACTTTCTTTGCTCTAGCCAATGCTTTATATGTTATGGGCAATGCAGGCATTAAATATATGCAATTTCCTATTGTTGAGAGCTATATCAACCTTGGGTTCATATACATATATTTCATATATATATGGTTTAAATATGTATATATGTATCTATATGCACATATATACACAGACGCATACTATACAGTAGCATATGCATGTACTAATATGCAAATATAGTTTATATGGATACAATACGTGAGTTTATGCATGCATTAACATATATGTGTATACAAGTATATCAGGATTCATTTTTATACACAGTCTATGATATATATACAAAGCTTTGCCATATGTGAACACAACAGATGGAAAATGTACCTGTATTTTTTTACTCATACATTTTATATTTCCTTTTTATTTATCAGATTTTAATCAAGCTTTGAATCACCAAACATGCATTAATTTATTCTCTATGTATTTCAAGGTCATATAATTTGACAAATGAAAGTTTATGAGCTAGATAATCATTGTCAATTGTTTCTTTAAAACATAAATTAAAAATTTTTTCATTTAAAACTTTTTGTATTATATTACATTGATTGAGTATTAATATTGTCAATAGCAGTTTTAATAGAATACCTTACTCGGCTTTATGATATTGTACTGTTCGTTATTATTTGTTTGTTTGTTTATTGGGTCAGAATCTCATTCTTTAATCTAGGATGGAGTGCAGTGGCACAATAACAGCGAACAGCAGTCTCAGCATCCAAGGCTCAGACAATCCTTCCACTTCATCCTCCTGAGTGCTAGGAATACAGTGTTTGCCACTATACCTAGCAGTTTTTTTAAATTTTATTTGTAGATACAAGCTCTCACTATGGTGACTAGGACAGTCTCAAACTCCTGGGCTCAAGGGATCCTCCCACCATGACCTCTCAAATTGCGGAGCTTACACGCACAACCCACCATCCCCTGCCTATTATTTTATTTTAGATGATGGTACTATTGTTGTACCTAATGACTGGGTGTCATTTGGTTTGGAGCTCTTTAACTTATCCTAGAATGGTGCATTACCATTTTGTATAGAGACAATGACATAATGCGAAATAATTTTACATATTTTATTAAGCATTAACTTAATTATATCGTTTTGAATGAAGAGTCATTTGTCTTTTTCCTTTAGAGAAGACAGTTTATATTACACTGCACCTGAACTTTGCTCACATATGTTTGCTTCTATGTGCATGTACATGAGATTACAAATGTGTATGGGCACGTCTGGTGTGTGTGTGTGTGTGTGTGTGTGTGTGATTTTCTTTGTTTTTTCCTTCTGTGTTTTTTTTTAATTTTAAATAACTGAGGTACAACACAGGCTTAGAAATGTAAATGTTCATTATACAGATTGTAATTTTAAAATATTGGGTATTATTTTCTTTTTTTCCTCACTGTGAGAGTTCACTTTCTATATTTTGATTTCTTGAATCTTCTAACTGAACTGCGTTATTTAGAATTGCTTTCAATGTGCATAAAAACAGTAAAATAGCAAGAAACCTGCAGTTCTAAAAAAAATTTTTTTTTAAACTGCCACTCCATCAAGAAACTTGAATATTTTGTTTTATTGAGTAAATTATAGGAGACCATACTTGGAAAAGACAGTACACCTGATGGTTAAGGGACTACCCCATCAATCACTTTTTATACCTTATGCAGGTGAAGCATGATGTGGTGGGTTTAACTTGTGAAACATGATGCCAACAGGTCAATCTTGCCACAGACACCCTTGTGCTTAGGAATTTACTCTTGCTGACACATTTTTCTTTTTCCTCTAATAATTTGAATGAGTAAAGAATACTTCATTGACAATTTCCTGAAGGTGTTTATTTTCATTATCTTCTGACACTTGTTACTGGGAAGTCCAACCCTAAAGAACATGCCATTCTATTGACAATGCTTAATATTTTCTCTAAAAAGGAATATAAATTTTTTTAAGTTTTCAGGCTAGCTCTCTTGTATTTCTTTTTTTTTTTTAAGATTTTTTTTTTTTTTTGAGTTGGAGTCTCACTCTGTCACCCACACTGGAGTGCGGGGGCCGC